TTCACAGATCAACTCCTAATTGTTTTTAAAAAAAATTATTAAAACCATTTAACTGTTTATTATTTTAAAAACCAAATGTGCTTTGATGTAGGGTTACACATATCCAATTAATCTGATTTTTTATAAATAATTTATTCGACGAATTAACGGTTTTGGATTATCAAAATAGGCCCAGGATAAACTCTCATGAACCCTCACAGCAACATCCTCTATCCCCTGAAATCAAGTGTATTTAAAAACCCATCTTTTAATTATTCTTTACAGAAAATTAATTAATTAATTAATTAATTTTGTCCACAGTCTATCTGAATTATATATTAGTGTAAAAGTTAGTTTTAAATCGACTCAATTCAATCACTAGCAAGACATTATTAAGAATAATAATTTTGTGGGTGTTCAATATTTGTTGTTTATAAATTATTTTAATTAGGATTCAATATAATAACTATTCCTATTCTTACTAAATACCTTAGTTAAAAATCTTAGTGTGTCAAATTTCAAAAACCCACACAAAAAAAAAAAAAAAAAAAAAATACAAACAAACAAACCGTGGGCAAACAACCCACAGCTCCTACCAAACCCACCATCCTTTATAAAACTTAGGGAAGAACTTATAAAAATTAGAGAAAGTTTGCTCTTAGAAATTGGAGAAAAGGAATGGAATGTTTTTGAGAAAATAAAATAATGGAAAGAATGAGAGGGAGAGAGAGATGTCTTCAATTTATATATATGCATGCAAGCATTCGGTGGGAAAAAAAAAGAAGAAGAAGAGAGAAATCCCCAAAGCAACCAAGCTTAGTGATAGGAGAGGAAGAAGAGTAGGAGATTAAGGAAGCCAAAATTCTCAACCATTTTGTCACCTTATTACTAGGTAAGAAAACCCTCTCAATCCTCTCATTTTTTTTTTTACATAATTGAAATTTTCAGATTGTGTACATATGATACATTGTCTAAATTGTGTTGAGAATACTCTGTCTTGAATCTGCCAGCATGTTACCCGAATTTTTAGACAATTTTATACTCAGAATTTCGAGATGATTTCTTCTACAAAGTTGTTGATAATGATGTCTAGTTTATCCAGAAATTTTTGGAAACAATTTTTGAGCCCTCTACGAATTTATACAAATTTTTAACTAAACCTGAAACTGTGTTGAGAATTCTCTGTCTTGAATCTGCCAGCATGTTACCCGAATTTTTAGACAATTTTATACTCATAATTTCGAGATGATTTCTTCTACAAAGTTGTTGATAATGATGTCTGGTTTATCCATAAATTTTTGGAAACAATTTTTGAGCCCTCTACGAATTTATACAAATTTTTAACTAAATCTGAAACTGTGTTGAGAAATCTGTCTTGAATCTACCAGCATGTTACCCGAATTTTTAAACAATTTTATACTTAGAATTTTGAGATGATATCTTCTACAAAGTTGTTGATAATGATGTCTAGTTTATCCAGAAATTTTTGGAAATAATTTTTGAGCTTTCTACGAATTTATACAAATTTTTAACTAAATCTGAAACTGTGTTGAAAAATCTGTCTTGAATCTGCCAGCATGTTACCCGAATTTTTAGACAATTTTATATTCAGAATTTCGAGATTATTTCTTCTACAAAGTTGTTGATAATGATGTCTAGTTTATCCAGAAAGTTTTGAAACAATTTTTGAGCTTTCTACGAATTTATACAAATTTCTAACTGAATCTGAAACTGTGAGACAGATTTTACCATGTATTTGAAAATTTATTTAAAATTCTATACTAAGCCAAATCTGGTAATTTCTGACTAGAAGATGAAATTTGAGAAGTCTAGTTTCATAATAAATTCTTAGATTATGGGTTTGATCTATAAATTTAAGCATGGAATTAAAATAAGGAAATGTGACAAATCTGTGTCATAAACACCCTTGAAATTTGTTTAGAATTATTTATAAGTTATTTTTGGGAAAAGCTTTCTGAAAAATAACCATAACATGTTTATTGAGTATCCTGTAGATTGATATGAATTTTAGAGTTGTATAAGTAATGTATTTATAATTTTAATTGCAAGATATATACTCTGAAAATTTTTCTGGACAGAATAAAATCACCACTTTAATATTATGCTAGTCTAATTTTGTAAATCAAAAATTTGTGCATGTGTGTGTTTAGGGTTTAATTCTTGTATCTAAGTTATTATTCCATACCATGGTTTAAATAAATTGTTTATTTAAATTCTGTACTTTTATTTAGTATTGTGTGACACATGCAATATTTTATGATTGGGAATTTTAATGAGTTGTATAACATTACTTGTGATTAAAAATTTGGAATTATTTGTGATTAATATCAAAATTAACTGAAATGATTAACGGCATATACAAAGTTAACAATCGACGATTAATACCAGTTGTTCGGGGTGAGTATTGGTTTAAAGACTGTACGGAATTAAGAGTTGACGGCTAACACCGGTTGTTCAGGGTGAGCCGCATCATCATCTCATCCTAGGTTGAACCCTTTTCGGTATTCGGTTTTGGAATAAGGGTGGATGTGCAGGTGGCACACAGGGAGGTTGCTTACCCCTGGCAGACCGTTTCCTTGGGGCAGACCACGGATGCCACTATTTGGGTATATAACTCCGGACGTGGGCATCCCTGGTAGTTACGGTTGGTAACACTTAAATATTTGACCAAGGGAGGGTTTCAAATTAACCGTTGCCATGCTTAGTGGTTGGTAAGTTAAATCTCTTTGGTGAGATTTCGAGTGTCACCTAAATTATTAAAATTATTGAAACTATTCTAATGGTTGTAATTTCTGTGTATAATTATATTGTTATCTCATGTTTAGAATATTATTATTTGTCTCTTAAAAAGAATGGTAGGTTGGTTACGTTTTCTTACTGTGTTGCAAAACTCATGGCATATATTTTGTTGCCCTGGCGTTTCATGCCAGATTATGTTGAAGAAGGGACTGAGGCTGAAATTGGAGCTGCTGCCAATATCGAACCTTGGCTGACTTAGAGTCAAGATTTTGTCAGAATAAAATCCTGTTATCCCTTGTATTAGGATTAAACTATGTTGTGACATTGTGTGTGAACTCGTAGTTTTATTTTGTCGTTGGACTTTGGCTTTGTAAGAACTTAAAAGTTCCTAACTAGTAGTTAAAATTTTATCTAGCAAGTTATTGTTATTTAAAATCTTATGACGTTTCAAAAAAAAAAATTTTGGGGCGTCACAGCTAGAGGGCCCAGTCTGCCAAGCTTGGTTTCTAAGTAAGCGGTTTATATGCCAGACTGTGGGCTCGCCTGTTCTGGTTGTTTCCATGCCGTCCCAGAGTCTATGCGGACAATAGATAGCCTCTCAGTTGCGGTTATTATTAATTTCATGGTGGGCCTGGATGCAGACTTCTTCAAAGCAGAGGGTGATTATGCGACATTCATCCAGACTCATTTCATGCCTCCTTTGACGAGTGTTCGCGTAGGCGAGGCAGCAGGAGCTCCTGTAGCGGGTGAGGCAACTCGGGTGACCAGGGCCCATGCTAGAGGGCCCGCCCCATCCAATTAGGCAGATGACTAGTTGGCTGGAGATTTCCACTACGCTCACATGTTGGCGGCCGACCGGGACAGCTTACCAGATTTCGATCAAGTCGGCAGAGGCAGGGCACAAGTATGTTAGAGCTAGAGGCGCGCCTCAGGTATGGACCACACTTTACAATTTGCACTCCACATTTTCCATTTCAGATATGTTTATTCCAGATATTGATAAGTCAAATGCACTTACAGGCACCTACTACGAAGTATGCAGAGAGCCTCCTCGAGTTAGTTGCCTCTCTGATCGGCATGGTGCAGAGGAGAGAGACGCTGCTTGGTCTCCACGGTATTCAGATATTTTCTCCAATTTCAGCATGCATTCCAACACTAACTCTATTGTGCACCACACTCCCATATTCTCACTGATACATTAGCCTTCCCACTATAGCCTTCCCCAAACTGCATTGAGACATGACATTGGCACACTGTACTCATATTGTATCTGGTTTCTGCATGACGCTCATTCTGCATACTATGCCTGTATCTGTACACACACTGTAGCTGATATGTTGACAACTGTTTTTCCAGATTCCATCTATATCGAGGGCACCAGTGGTAGCACGGCACTAGCATCGGCAACACTTTCTCCGACAGCAGGGAGGCTAGAGAGATGGGCTCCAGCACGCAGCCAAGACGAGTGTCGCGGTTGAGGCAGGGACAGGGGTGCTCGAGGTTAGAGCAGTCCTTTGGAGCCCGTTCTGAGTGACGATGATGATGACGAAGCCAGCGCCTATGAGGAGATAGTGAGTCAACATTCTGAGTCTGAGAGAGGGGCGATGATGCCGGCACAAGATCGGGAAGCGGAGATAATGCCGAGGCCGGCTTGGAGGCAGGGAGCGGAGGCTCAGAGTCTGGTTCTGGCAGCGGCGCCGAGGGAGATAATGCTTCTGAGTCCCCTCCGAGGAAGATGACGAAGAGGGCCTGTCGAGTTTGAGATGATTGGCGCTGTTTTTTGGACTTTTTTTGCTTAGTTTCTTTTAGTTTGGTAGTTTACCACATGTATAGCTTCAGATAGGTTTTACTTTTGCTTTTGAAACTTGTACTTCTTTTGTAAAAACCATGATCGAAATAAAACCGTCGCAGTTTTTATTAAAAGAGTTTTGGTTCTACAACATGAGCACTACACCACGAGTAACATACTTGCATGAAAAAGAACATGAAGTTGAATTTGAAACCGAACATGCTTGCATTGGAATAATGTCTTAATCGGATAATGAGCCGACCAATGACAAAAATACAAAATACAACTTGATAAACAAAGCAAAACAACTCAAACACAAACCAAAAATAGCTATACACACTTGAAAAAACCAAAAGACTCAAAGCAAGACCTTAAAACACACAAAGATCAAGACAAAACACATGCTGCTAGTGTTGCCCAGCACATAGGTGGATGGCAGGCTAGAAAGAGGGACTGTCGGCCACAAAAAGAAGTCGCCGGCCAGAGGGGGGTGGCCTGCCGGCCACCAAAGTAGCCTGCCGGCCACTAGTGTAAGTAACCTCCAGATTGTTGATAGCTGGCTTCCACTCACAGCCTTATCTTCTACAAAAGTTTCTGCTTCGTGATTTCTTCTCCAGAACCTCATTTCAGCTGCAATTTCTTCCACAAATGGAGATATTCCTTGCCGAGAAGCTCACGAATTGGATAGCTACTTTAGACGGCACGAAAAAGGTAAATTTCTGGGGTTTCAGTCCAGTCTATGGTCACTACACAGTTTGGATCTACTATTAAATTGTTGCGGTCTGACTTGGGTGGGGAATACTTTAAAACTGAATTCTGTGAATATTTGGCCAACTTGGGTACCATTCACCAAACTTCTTGTACTGATACACCTGCCCAAAATGGCCGAGCTGAGCGTAAACACCGTCATCTTCTTGAGACAGCTAGATCTCTTCTTCTCTCTGCCTCCGTTCCAGCTCCGTTTTGGGGTGAGGCAGTTCTTACTGCTGCTTTTCTTCTCAAACCGTATGCCTACCCCCTTCTTTCTGGTCGGTCTCCTTATGAGGCTCTCTTTTCTCAACCTCCTAATTACTCCCTCCTTCATGTATTTGGGTCTGTGTGTTTTGTCCTTTTACCCCGTAAAGATAGGACTAAACTTAGTGCCCGATCTGTCCTATGTGTTTTTTTTGGGATATAGTCTCACTCAGAAAGGTTATCGCTGTTATGACCCTGTTTCTCGTCGCCTTTATGTCTCCCGCCATGTTGCCTTTCTCGAACGTCTATCTTACTTTCAGCTTCCTCCTCTCACCGCCCCAGTTTCCAAAGAGGATTTGGTTCATATTGATCCATTTCCTTCTGAGGTCCCATCTGATGAGTACATCTCCATAGTTCCTCCTGAGCTTATTCCATCTTCTCCTTCTGCTTCACCTCTGACTACTTCTCCTCCTTCGCCTCCTCCTTCGCCTTCTCCTTCTCTTTCTTCTTCTCCTCCGTTGTTAGTTTATTCTCGTTGCAAGGCTCCTCCTCTATTAGTTGTCTCTACCCCTGCTGCTGATCCTCCTGCTTCTGACGACTCTGATCCTGCTGCACACCGATATCCTCCTCGAGCGCGTCATCCTCCACAAAGGTTGGGTTGGTCTAATACTTGTTTTTCTGCTTCCTATCGTACCTTTTTGTCTGCTATTCACTCTTTTGCAGAACCTCAGTCTTACAAGGAGGCCTGTCAGGATCCTCATTGGGTTCAAGCTATGGAGGATGAGTTGTTTGCTCTACAGAAAACGAGTACTTGGGAGTTGGTTCCTTTACCTGTTGGTAAGAATCTAGTTGGTTGCAAATGGGTCTACAAAGTCAAGACTCATTCTGATGGTTCTCTTGAGCGCTACAAAGCTCGTCTGGTGGCCAAAGGTTTCTCCCAAGAGTATGGTATTGATTATGAGGAAACATTTGCTCCTGTTGCCAAGATGACTACTGTCCGTACTTTGATTTCTGTCGCTGTTGTTCGTTCTTGGCCTCTTTATTAGATGGATGTTAAGAATGCTTTTCTTAATGGCACTCTCACTGAGGAGGTTTACATGCGTCCTCCCCCTGGTCTTCACCATTCCTCTGGCCAAGTCTGTCGTCTTCGGCGTGCTCTATATGGTCTGAAGCAGTCTCCTCGTGCTTGGTATGATCGCTTTCAGACTGCTGTTACCGAGCTTGGGTTTCATCCTTCTGCTTCCGACTCTGCTTTATTTCTAAGATATACCTCGGCTGGTTTTGTTGCTCTCTTACTATATGTAGATGATATGATCATCACTGGCTCTGACTCTTCTGCTATCTCTGAGGTCAAGCAGCATCTCTTTCGCACCTTCGAAATGAAGGATCTGGGACCATTGCGGTATTTTCTTGGCATTGAGGTGGCTTCTTCTCCCAAGGGTTACTTTCTGTCCCAGGCTAAGTATGCTAACGAGGTTATTCATCGTGCCAGACTTACTGACACTAAGCTGTCTGATACCCCCATTGAACTTAATGTAAAGCTCAACACTACTGATGGGGTTCCTCTAGATGATCCTACGTTGTATCGCGAGCTTGTGGGTTGCTTAGTCTATCTGATAGTTACTCGTTCTGATCTTGCCTATGCTGTCCATGTGATTAGTCAGTTTGTTTCTGCCCCTCGCTCTACACATTGGGCTGCTTTGCTTCGGATTCTTCGTTATCTTCGCAGTACTATCTTTCAGGGCTTGCTGTTCTCTTCTACTTCTTCCTTAGATTTGGTGGCTTATGCTGATGCTGATTGGGCTGGTGATGTTAATGATCGTAAATCTACTTCTGGTTTCTGTATGTTTCTTGGTGATTCCCTAATTTCTTGGAAAAGCAAGAAACAGACTGTTGTTGCCCGTTCTACTGCCGAAGCTGAGTATCGTGCTATGGCTCATGCTACTGCTGAAATTGTCTGGCTTCGTCAGCTCTTATCTGAGTTGGGCGTCCCTCAATCTTCCCCAACCTCTCTCTATTGTGACAACCGAAGTGCTATTCAAATTGCTCATAATACTGTCTTCCATGAACGGACAAAACATATTGAGATTGATTGTCACTTCGTCCGTCAGCATCTGCAGTCTGGCTTTATCTCGCTTCCTTTTGTCTCTTCGGCTCTGCAACTTGCTGACTTCTTCACTAAGACTCACACCACTGCTCGGTTTCGGTTTTTTCTTGACAAACTCTCCGTGTTTTCTGCTAAAACACCTTGAGTTTGAGCGGGGGTGTGAGAATATGTGTTCTCCTCAGATTAGGAATCAGTGTCCTATGTTTATTAGACTTCTATATATCTCAGTAATGTATTCATGTAGGGTTAGGGAATTAGTGGTACTCTATATAAATGATGTATGTATTCTTTGTTCAAATTAATTCAATCTAATATACAGGTTGTTTAGAAATCTTACATATACAACAAAATGCACTGATGATATACATGAACATATAGGCATGTGTGTGTGCACTAGTGTATGTTTTCCACTCTAACCATAATATGTTGCCAAAGAATGTTTTGTTTACTAGTAGTTCTAATCTTAACAAATATTAGGAGAAGTTCAGAAGAAACCACATTCTGGGAGCAGCTTAAAACCTTCTCATCTTAGGGAAGAAAAAGAAAGAATTCCTTGTAATGCCGCATGCCTAGAATAACCATAATTGGACACACCTTGCATTGTATAAGCAAAATTCAAATTGAAAGAAACATGTTACATCTAGTCAGCACATCTAGTCAGCACTTGTCCCAGGCAAATAGACAGAAGAAAATTTATGTTTTTGCCATCTAATTCCAAGCTAAAGACCAGAATTCACAGATTTGATGCATCCTAATAATGTATAACAAAATTTACAGCTAATTTAACAGAAATGAAGTATTGTAAAATAGAAAATAGAGAGAATTACAAACTTCCGTATTAAACAGAAGCAGGGAGTCACCTGATCCATTCCACATCTCATGTTCAGCTTTCTCATCCGTGCCTTCTAAAGGGGGGATGTGTGATAAGATACGATATATCTTGTGAATAGGGAGCTCTACACTGCAACACACCAGCAAGACTTCAGTGCTTTTGTGTGTTTTTTTTTTGTTTTTTTTTTAATATAGGCTAGGTTCCCTAGAATAAAATTCTAAAACGACACACGTCTACATAAAAAAGCGAAATTGAAAATTTCTAATGTATTTAAAAGCCAAACAGAGAACAATGCCAGTCATCAAACCACCTAACACTTCAATTGCACATGCAACACGTTCAAGCAACCATGTGACTATGTGAAGCAGGCTTCACTACAAATACCATTCATGTGAAATCAAGCAGTGAGTAACCACTCATTTAATTTATTTCACATCCAAATCTTATCACAAAGAAGAGGAGAGCAAAGATTAGAGAAAAGGTTAATCTGCACAGAAAGGGCTGTTTATAAAAGTAACACTAACCTTGTTCTTGAATGACTTTTGTTGTTGCCGTCTACACTCACAATTTTATTGTCTATAGGGGAGGGAAATTGTAGACCAGATTAGAAAATAACAAAACTATGAGTACAAAATGTAACAAAAGAATAACTAAGAAAACAAAAGGTTGATGCCTGAATTTGAAAATTACTAACACAATTAACAAATATGCAGAATAAGTACCAGAAATGTCTTTCGCCCCCAGTGTTCGAGCCAACTTTTCTATAGTGATGTAAGTAAAATAACTGTACCAATAAGGAATTATTTAGTATCCATCAACAAAAATTCATTTGGAAACTTATATACTTATAGGTACGATATTCCCCAAAAATTTATCCCAGACAATAATTAAATCAATGAAAGACAATAAAATTTATGCAAAAATGATAAGCCTGTAACATGAGACAGAATTTTCACAATTCAAAGTTTCAAAACTGGGCTTCTAAATATAACTAATCCAAAAATGGAAGCAAGTATCTGAGGCTGAGTTGCTTGGACATTGCATTTTACTTTGTGTTTACCTATAAAGCACGGATACTTCTAAAAGGGAGGCTTATCCATATTGGATACCAACACTCCTTAGATACTCGCAGATACGTATCCGATACTTAATAAAAGTATTGGATACTTCTTAATTTAATTTTCATTAATTTTGAAATATCGGATACTTAATTTTGAAGTATCAGATACTCTAAGTCATGTATTACATCTTTTACAAAATTAGAATAACATTTATTGCATAACATTATAATATAATTGAGAGGATAAATGCAAGAATATTTTTCCAATGCTTAGCTTAGTTCTTTAATAAAAAGAACATGGTGAGCTAAAGTAATAGAATTTGTCAAATTGGTGTATCCTTATTGTATCATGCTTGTCCCCTATAACTACATAGAACATAATGATTAACAAAAGAGTATAACAATAGTAAAATTAATACCATCAATAAAATAAACAAGTAAACTTGCATACGACATTTTTGACTAGTGCAAAATGGAAAAACAGGGACAAATTGTGGATTGGTCTATTATTGTAATATAAACATACTAAACTTGATATTAAAATGAAACATTTACAAGACCAATTGAAAATTAAAAAAGTAAATTAGCTATTGGCTTAAATTAATACTTAATTCTTAAAGATTAATAGTTAACATTACGAAATTATAGTATAATTTCTCAACATTCTTCTGCTTATGTGTTACTCACTAATAATAAAAAAAATTTAAATATTTTTTTTACAAACGTATCCTAGCCATACCCATATCTTATTTTTTTAGGTTTTGTCGTATCACCGTATATGTATTTCATATTGATATCCGTACTTCCTAAGTGATTACCATATGTAATTGAGAAAACGACAATACCACATGCACCGCCTTGTGCACAACTTGGTGAATGTGTGGATGACATTCACACGTCGTGCAAAAAGTTATCCAAAAATTTGTGTGCCATATGTAATTGAGAAAACGACAATACCACATGCACCGCCTTGTGCACAACTTGGTGAATGTGTGGACGACATTCACACCTCGTGCAAAAAGTTATCCAAAAAATTTGTGTGGGTAGTTTTTCTATTCAGAAAAAGATTAGAGATTGTTCCTGGATAACATGTCATGTATTGGTACTTGGATACATGGAGCATGCTCCATGATTTTGTACTTCTAAGGTTCAATCATCCCTTTATAATAATAATAATAACAAAATTTATGTTACAAAAAAGTATATACAAATAAATGTATATACACCGCATGCATTTCAACTGACTGTGATAAAAATCTAAGCCATCAAATATACACAGCATGAATTGATATTGTGTTACCGATAGCCCTAAAATAACAAGTGTTGGTTCATAAATATGCAACCATGTAAAAATTATGAATCCCCCGAGAAGGAGAAGGAGAAGAGAGCAACAAGTGAAGATAATGGTGTACACATACATACCGGATGTCAATGTAGTTGAAGTACTTTGACACAAGTAAATCTAAGAAAATTTCAATTCCCACAGTTGAATGAAGCTACAAATGGAAGCAAAACGAGAAAAATTAGAGTCATACAATTATTACTTGAGAAAAATTTATGTTAATTTTGCTATTATGAAAACATTGAGACCATGTATTTTGTTCTAGCATTTGAAGAGAGAGAGAGAGAGTCACAGTTTGTGTGTTTGCATGCCTAATAATATTATGCACAGCATAAGTCCCCAGTTTCATTTGCACGAATCCAACAACCATGATGTCATATATATTTTGAAAAGATTTCAAAGACAAACAATTACGTTGATACAAGAACTTAAGTGCAAATTGCTACCCGATGAACCAAACAGTTGATTGAAGGATGTCTCCGTAAAAGGTTGTGAATCAAAGCAATAATGACCAACGCTCCTGACGGAGGAACTGAAAGGCCAAGGCGAGGTTGCCGCCCGCCAGTGAAGCGAAAAATACTAAGTTCTTAACCTTGCTCTGATACCATGTAAAAAATAAATTAATAGAGAGAGAATAAATTGTATGTATTATTGATTGATTGTATATTATATTTATTACAATGATTCATGATTCCTATATATAGAAGAGGGTGAGTGTGTAGTAGGTCAGGAGTAGGTGAAGTGGAGGTGGTAGTGGTGTAGTGGGTTAGGTTTAGTGGAGTAGGTGAGGTGGTAGTGGTGTAGTGGGTTAGGTTTAGTGGAGTAGGTTTAAGTGGGTGAAGTAGGTGATAGGTTTTAACAAAAAGTTAGAAAATTCAGCCCAAAATAAAATGAGTTTTTTTGTCCAAAATAACACTATTTTATAAAATAAAATAAAAAGGATTCTCAATCTAACACTCTTTAACAATTAATTCCCATTATAATGTTTTTTATGCCACCTATGTTACTTTGTTAGCTTTTTTTAATACTTTTTTACATGCCATGTTGGCATTTTTATTCTTCTATGTAACATTTAATTAAAACAAACCAACCTACATAACTGCCAATCCAAAACCATTGCTCACAGAAAGGGCAGCTGCCATATTCACAAAGTTAATCAAAGCCACAAGAAGTCCCACAATCAATTAAGTTCATTTTCAACTTGATTGCTTAATCAATATGTTGACCATAATAACTGCTCATGGTGCTGATAGACCCACTATTTATAGAACTGGGTTTTTTGAAAATGTAATCTTGCCACTTAAGAAAGAATATATATATTTACAAGTGCTTTAAAACTTTAGAAATAAAATATGTATATTGATGTAGGACGAGTAGGGATTACCTTCCCACAAGTAATGAGCCGAGTTAAGTATACTGGCAGCAGTAACAATAGACTTATAGGGCTGGATTTAGTAGGATTTTATGGGAGCAAAAGTATTTAAAATAGGAGTTTAAAGAT